GGGGTGGGGGTGGGGGAGGGACCCCCGGTCCTGCCCTTTTTTGGGAGAAAAATCCCAAAATCCGCCCTTTTATCGCATAAAAAAAACACCCGGAATTAATTTTTTAATTTTTTATTTTTTTTTAAATTTTTTTTATATTCCCTCATTTTGGTTTTTTTTTCTTTTTCACCCAAAAAAAAAAGCAGCTGGACATCCCGGATTTTGGGAAATTTTTTTGTGGGATAAATTCGGAATTTCGCCTTTTTTTGGGGGGGGGGGCAAAAACTGCCCCGAATTCCTTCAAACTTCGCCCCAAAAAGGGGGGAAAAAACCCCAAAATTTGGCCCTAAAAGAGGAGAAAATGCCCCAATTTTTGTCCCTCTCCGGGGGTTGTGTCCGCGGTTTTTCCTCTTTTTTTTTTTTTTTCCTGTTTTTCCTCTTTTTTTCCCGGTTTTTCTTCTTTTTTTTCCCCTGATTTTCCTTCTTTTTTTCCCAGTTTTTCCTCTTTTTTTCCTGATTTTGACACTTTTCTTCCCCCCGCCGATTTTTGCTCTTTTTCCCCATTTTCTCCTCTTTTTTTCCCCCCATTTTCCCTCTTTTTTTTTCCCTGATTTTCCCTCTTTTTTTTTTCCAGATTTCTCCTCTTTTTAGCCTTAATTTTTCCTCTTTCCCCCTCATTTCCCCTCCCTTTTCCAGATTTTCGCCCATTTTTTCCCAATTTTTTTCTTTTTTTACATAAATCCACCCCGACCCCGCCCCTCCGAGCCACTCCCTACATTTCTGTGTCTTTTTAGGGAATAATCCCTAAAAAAATTTCTTTTTTCTTTTTAGCGAGACCCCCCAAAAAAGAGGGAACATCAGGAATTTGGGCTTTTCCACAGGGAAAATTTTACATTTTGACCGAATTTCGACTTTTTATTAAAAACTCGATGCTTGACTCCGGCGTCTACGGGGGGAAAAGACCCCGAATTCTGCTGTTTATGGGGGGAAATCCCCGAATTGAATCATTTAATAAGGAACAAATCCTTGATTTTGCTTTTTTTAATAGGAAAAATCCCCGTTTGTGGAGCAACCTCCCCCTGATTTCGCCTCTTCACGAAGAGAACCGGCGTAGCCCCGCCCAACCATACCCCGCCCCAAATTCCACGTTTTTAGCGTGAAAAAAAAACCAAAAAAAACCCGAAATTCGCTTTTTTTTGGGAGTGGGAGGAGGGGGTAAAACCGCCTGGCGCCGCTTGCGCCCCCTGGCGGCTCGGAGGAGCCCGCGCAGAGCGCAGGGACGCGGCGCTCACAAGATGGCGGCCGCGCGCGGTGCGCGCCGGGAGTCGCAGTCCAACCAACGTTATGAAACCGCGCGTGTAATCGCTAAGTGACTACAACTCCCGACGTGCACCGCGGCGGCGGCGGAGGCAGAAGATGGCGGCGCCCGCGGTGCTCGCCGGGAGTCGTGGTCCGAGCGCGCTGCCGCCAACGGAAGGGGCGGAGCTACGGGACTACGAACCCCGTCGCCCCTTGCGGCCGCGCATGCGCGGAGCCCTCACACCGCTCCCGGAGCGGAAGTGGAGGCGGGGGCGCGCGTGGCGTCGCCTCAGCGTCGGCTGCGCTCGGCGGCGAGGCCGCTCAGGGATCGCGAGGGTCCTGTCGC